TTACTGCGCAAACAGAATACCTCATTTTGGAAGTTCAACCCCTTTTGTTTTTAGTCTTTCTGTTAGTGCACTTTTCGTTGCAAGAATTGCAATCTTACGGCATAAATAAATGTAATATGTGTGTGTTTGGTTTCGTTTACCTCTACATATATATATATTATTTTTATTATCTAGTGCGATTACCGAAATGAACTGGCGTGAATATAAGATAAGGTAACCACAAGGTGGATTTTTCGAACCATAACATTATAGCCTTTTCTCTGAAGTATGCTGCGCGTGTTTAACGGTGTTTGCTTGCACGGCTATAAACATAGGAAAGGCATGTTCATCAGCGAAGCGTAGTAGGCACTGAAAGTCGTTTAAATAAAGTGTATGGATCAAGACGAGTTCCATAACCACGTGTACCACTGCCATTCAACGGTCTGGAGTGGAGTAAGTATAACGTTCTGGCGGAACGAAGAAGAATCTTCAAAAGGAAAAGAAAGTTGCATGCTGAGCAGGCAGTAAAACCTAAAAATCAGCAGGCAGTCATTTTTCAAGGCAACGATACACCACCCTCCCATTTTTCATTTGATATCTCTCTCTCTCCACCTATCTATATATGCATGTATGTATTTATATTACTTCATGTACGAACAATACTCTTTAATGCAGTCAGTCGTGGGCATCAATAACTAGAAAATATTTATTTTCGCATACTTCTGGCACAATTATCAAGAAAATGGATGTTCCGAGCGTAACAGCTACTATAGCGGTATTTATATAAACCTGTATTTTTCAGAACCTTAGAAAAATTTAACTTCATTTTTATTTCGAGAATATTAGATACTATTGGCGGCATGCAGAAACTAGAGCGAGTGATTCTCTAGTAGCTATCATCATCATCGTTTGTGACGTCGCGGGTAGGAAACCCGCGGGCCAGACCGCGCAGATCTAGGATCCCTCGGCTCGTCAGCTAGTTTCATGCACTGTTTGGGTAACGCGCGGCACAGCCTGTTTCACTCGTTCTGCTTATTTAGTGGAGTGATATTTGTAGTAGGATATTTTACCAAAGCTTGAAACCGTGGCACGCGTAATCGTGCTAACAAACAGTTTTAACGCTGAGGTGTTGAAACGCTGGGACGGTGGTGTGTTGTTCTCTACACAAATAGAAAAAGTAGGATGATGAAAATAGAATGTCCAGCGCTTTACTTCATTACATCTACCACCGAACAAGGTATATTTCCTATTATGATTTGGACAAAACGAAACTGAGACGAGAATGTATCATGTAATTGAAAATAGGAAAGCGAAATCCGAGAATCTCTCGCGTGTGTAGCAAACAATTCAGTGAAAGCGACTCCGCGTGTCTTGTTTGTTCCAATGGGTTCTGTGAGTGCTGCTCAGATTAGTTCCAACATGGTTCATTCCTTTTTGAATTTTGTAAACCAGTAAACAAACATTTCCTCAAAATTACCGGCAGGAAGAAGTGGTGGCTAGATTCCGGAGTCGTTTCAATTAAATCACTGCTTATTCACCCGGTTGACAAGAAACTTGCAAGACCCCCTCGCGATAGAAGTCTTAAATCTAGTTAGTCGTTGACAATTCAGCGTTCCAAAAAATGAAGTACACACCGGCTATGAATTACTACCGTTTGTATGTTTAATTTTGCAGACCAAAATACGCATAATGCGTGATGCACTTCTCAGCGAGCGATTTTAAATTTGTAAACAATTCTTAGTAAAAATTTGACAACAAAAAATAATCAGTGGCTTGAATTTCCCTGGCCATGAGCGACAATTTAATGAACATTTCTGCTTTTCTTGGGACCAGAAGTCGCGATGTGACAAGCTTCTATGCCACGTATTCGAAGCGGGACAAGCTAAGCGTCAGTTGCTCACGAGCATTTGCTCGTCAGCAACTGTCGAGTTGCAGTTGGCCAGAAGCGGTGGTATCGGCAAGCTCAATGTATACCGAAAACAAGTGTGCGGCGCTTTGCAACACAACTGTGCGCGCGTGCACAGCTAAGACGACCGCAAGTCATTTACTCTGGTGAATGCAAAACCTTCTTCTACAGCAGCCTCCACGAATCCAAAGCAAAATATCAGAAAGGTTGCAAATGGCTTTGACGCACGCCGCACAAGCTATTATGTGAAGCTCCAGGCTTGTTTTCGAACATTTTGAAGTTTTTTTTTAAATATGACAAGCAACCAACTTCGAGGCGTTGTTATTCATTAGAAAGATCACTCACAAAAACGTCATACACGCTCCTTCAATAAATGAACCTTTTAGTTGGCTTAGATGCGAATTCGCATATCTACTCCGTGCTTTGACATGGCGCGTCGTCTGCTCGCATCTATACCAGCTCCGTCACAAGAAGGCGCCCGCGAGGTGGCACCTTTAAAACATCTCGTCGCCAATAAGTTCGCAATACATATAAAAGTAGGTGCCATAAAAGAGGAAATTTTGTATATTCCGTTCAACATTCCATACGCCATTGTATCATTTGGTGTATAATTGAACGAATTTACAATTTATCGAAAATGTTCGTGCTGTTTTGAAAGGCAAATAATTTCACTGCGCGACTGCTAATCCAAACGCAGTTCTTTGGAAAGTTATTCTCTCAAGCCTGTGCACCTGGTAGCACAGCATACAATTGAGTTCTATGCGTTGAGAGTTTTTTTTTTTTTTATACTTGATATAGTATACTTTAATTGCCCTTTCCATATGGTAGTAGGATTGTTGTGGTCAGTCCTGAAATCGAGAACCAAGATTCCCACTTTACGAAGTAGGTACTCAATTGAGCTGTGTTAATTCAGAACACCAAAAATGTGAGGCATTTCGTTGATATCGTATTACTGAGATGAACTATAAGGGATATTTTGTCACCAAAGAAGAGCCCATTGCCTGAACCCAACAAGCTACATTCAATGTTCCGTTCTAAAGGTAACTGTGTTACTCTGGTCAAACAAAGTTTAAGCAGGGGTTCAAAATTCGACTACGATAATAGTTATTACTTTGAATAGTTCTACCAAAATGCGTTCAAATTCGTATACATAAAAGACCTCGCAAGTCGCGAACATTTGTAAAATAGGACAATACTCGAAATATAAACAGGTCTACTGAAAACAATTTCCGTAGTTCGTGCAGTTCAGGGGTGAATGAAGCACAGCGAGTCTCAGGATTCGGGAGAATTAACTTTACTTGGCTAAATATCTTAACTTCTCTGGCCGGAATGTTTAAAAAAAAAAATAAACTATTAATGTTCTTGGAGATTCAAGCATACCCTGCCTAAATATTTATGAAGTTACCAAAACCGAACAAATTTATCCAAAAATCTATTTCTTAAATGAATATAAAAAAATCTCCCATCGTTTTAGGTTTTGAGGTAATGCTCGTTAGGGTTTGCACGTTTCCAAAATTAAAGCCATATTACGCTGATCTTGTGAAAGTGTTACTTCTGCGACTGAAAAGGGGAGTGAGTTGCGTCATAGCCGTTGAGTTTTCTAAGTTTGCAACTGCGAAGCAGCTTCGTAGCAAACAGGAAACACCATTAACGTTCCCGGATCTTATATACTATAAGAAGGGCTGGGATTAAGCAATATTTTATTATGCAACCGACAGGTAAGTTATGGCAGGCAGCTGCGGGAGAGCAAGCAGCTAAAACCAGAAATGATGCTTGAACCAAGAGAGCATAATTTCGTGCAAGCAATGTACGTTTCGCTCACGGAGTAATAGGGAACGAGTGATGTCTATTAGCAACTTCGTACTCCACCTACAATTTGTTGTGCAAATACTCAGCCCTTGGAACATAGTAGTTAGCAGAGGTATTCAGTTGATAACCATTTGTATTGAAAACGTTTTACATGGAACATAGCGCTCTTCTTTGGTTTTTTCGTCATGTGGATTTTCGCGGACGTCGTTGCTACTCCAGAGTTCAGTTTTCAACATTTATCGTCAAAGAAGCTCGTTACATTTGCTAGAAATATTTGCTACAAGATAAAAACACTTACGTAGTCTAGAACGCCAACAACTATACATGCACAAGTTAAAATTTAATATTGAAATCTGCCGGATGAAGTTGCAACCTAGAATGTTTGTGTACGAAATCTGTAAACAGAACATCGTTGCTTGTAATAAAAGTTTGCTGGTAAACTTCAATTTTCATAAGTATGTAGGGATAGATGTATGTAACAACACATAGTGTCGTCCCTTCGTCGTCCAGAGGGGAGTGCGTAGACAACATAATTGGCCACTAGCCAAAAACAGAAACTAATTAAACGAAAACAAATTATAGGATGAATATGTCTTCAAATGTCAAATGCAATATATATATATACTTGTGCATTGAAATATTCCACGTTGGGTCCTTTTTAATATTTATGAGTATTAAGGAGTTTCGGAGCAAGCAGAAATATGCATCTGCGAGTCCCTCATACAAATCCCAGTAACAAATGTGAACTTTTAAAATGTATTCCAAATTATGAATAATAACAATGCGTTATTAAAGGTTTCTCGCGTTATTCCCGATCATTTTACTGAAAACTAGAACCATCCGCACGTGCCAAAGCATTTTCTGTCTTAAAAACAAAAAAAAAAGAAGCATGAAAAAAAAAAAAGACATCTAAAATATACTTAATGGATGGGCGAAAAATATAACGAAATTCCTCTTTGATTTTCGTCCATAGACCGAAGCCAGGGTTTGCTAATATAGCTCAGGGAATCCCCCGGACTGTCTGGAAACCAGCAAAAACCCAACCCAGCATCATCTTCCGGAGCGATGAACTTATAGCGGTTCGCGCGGACACCGGTTAGCGCGGCCGGCCGATCGCGGGCTGATGATTGATGGCGGCGAGCGCCAGCTTCGCCGCTCGGCCCTGATGGATTGACGGCGGCAGCACACTCCCCGCGTCACCTCCGCCGCGAAAAGGATAACAGCCGCACGTTTGTTTACACACGCCACGTGACTGCTCGTGCGGGCGCCGCGTTCGAGAGGACACCGACGGGCACCACGGGCTCACCTTGGTGTTGTTTGCGGGTGGTCTTCTTCTCCTTCATCCAGGGGTACTCCGGCACTCCCAGCGCGGCGGCGGCCCCCGGCGCGTGCTTGGCGCCGGGCGAGCCGTGCGGTCCGAGCGGGCTCTGGCACATCCCGGCGGGCGGTGGCGGGCCCGCGGGCGGCCTGCCGTTGTGGAAGCTCTCGGTGACGTGCGGCAGCGCTGTCATGAACTCCGCCATGGATGGCTGGCTGTTGATGAAGCCCGTCTCATCCTCCATGGCCGGGAAGCGACGGGGTGAGGCCCCGCGGCGGCGCGCTCACGGCATGCCCGGCGGTCGCTCCACAATACCGCAGGTTCTCTCCTGGCTCCGGGCGGGCAAGTCGCTCTCACAGCGACGCTCCTCTCGACGCCGCTCCGCGCGCGCGTTTCCGAGCGCCACGCCGGCCGGGCATTTCGCGCGATTGATAACGGAATGGGGTTCTCGGTCCGGTTGCGTCACGTGGGGGCCGGCGGCCAATGGCGCCCCGCCTCCGCGCCTCGCCCCGCCCACGCCCCGCGCCCGTCGTCGTCTTCGCGCGCGCGCGGGTACGACGACGACGTTGTCGCTCGGGGCTCGGCCTTTCTCTCGCGCCTCCTCGCGCTCCTCGTGCGCCGTCCGCGCGCGCGCGTGCCCGAATTCCCGCGTCTTTCGTACGACGTTAGCCGCAACGGCCCGGTGGCGCTGCGAGGACGAGTTTGTTCTTCTCTGTATACGGTCGCTTAATGACGGCTGACAAATCGCTGCCCAGCCTGAGTGCGGGATCCATCACGCGGTCCGCTTCCTTCGCACCTCTTCCGAGCGCGGACTTGTTCTTTTTCGCGAAACGTGTCCGCAGGTGAGGCCACGTCGGAGGGGATCATGGGGACTTGGTTTTGAGCGACGGGGGTCACTCGATGACGGCGGGCGCTGCTTGACGCCTGCCTTTCAATCATCGGGGCCGCTTTGATTCGCGGCACTCGCCTGGGAGCCGGGAATGGCGCGTTGACAGTGCTGACAGCGTTCATCTCCCTCTAAGCTTTCTATCATTCGTATATTCTATTAAAAAAGGAAAGGGCGGTTTAGGCTTGCCCAGAGGCTGGACCCAGGCACAGCTCCATGATACCCACGATAACGGCACCTGCCTTTTGTTGCATTCTTTTTTTTGTGTGTGTGTGTATGGGTGTGTTGTTGCGTTTCTTCATGTATAGTATCGTAATTTTACTTTTGTAGCCACGAAATTGAAGGACATTGATCAGGAGGCAAAAGGCTACTATTTTTTTTTTTTAATTTTACCCTTTTCTGGTTCCTGTACGTGTCAAATAATGAATAAATGATTACATCCTAACAATTCCGGAAGTTTTCCCAAGCTGTGGAATCATTAAGCAGGCCGAGTATATACATTGCGTATTAATATTTTCCCACATTGTACGAGTTATAATGAAAGGGGGAATCGGGCTGGAAAAAGCTCAGATGTAAATTGCTTTTCAATTCTACCTTTTACATAGATGACCTATTGTGATGCGCCGCTAACGTTTTTGACACATTTATTTCCCAGTTTGAGAATATGACGAAATGGAGCTTTTTCTCCTGAAATCAGTTTTAGCTGTTGCGAATTCCAATTCAAGTATTTTCTTCACCTCTTATACAACCAATCAATAACATCCTGTGCGTGGTTATCCTTCTCTGTTTAATATGCGGACGATCGCTTCAACGGCGTGCGTTGGTGTACTAATAAAAGCCTTTCTTGATGCACAGATTCCTGCACGGGCTCTACGGGGAAACGGTAAGTTACCGTATACCTTTATTTCGAAACAGTCTGACCCCACAGTATCTAGGCATCTATCGACGCCAATTTAGATTCGGAAATAATGCATGGCTCCTGAAACAGCTTACTTCAAAGTATAGTTGCCAGCACGTGTACCTACAACGCACGGACACCCTTTGCATCTTTGACTCACAGTACCTGCTTCATCAGGTTACAATTATTTTGCGCCAAGGGAAGGTGCGGAACACACCAAAACTTTGCGTTCGGTCGCTCATCAGGAAAAAGTAATTATAAAGACATGTTTTCCTCACTCCCCCCTCGGCCGCACGACTTTCGTCACCCAGCCGCCTGTTTTGACGGATTTACGACGACCATGCAACGCACGCCTTCAAACTTGCCTTATTTTCATTCTAGCTTATACCTGGCCCTGTTTTATTCTGTGATTATTTTATTTATGGCAGGAAATCCCGCGGAGGCGTGCAAATTCAAAGGCAGAGGTACGATTTGCGATGTATAGTTCCTAGTCTAAGACAAACTAAGTCTGATATATGTTGCGACTCAGTATGAAAGCATCGGGTCGTTGAAGTACGTGATATGGCAAAAATTTGCACAAAATAAGCTTAATAAAGCAGAACTATGTTCTTTGGCATTCCTTCGACAGTGACCCAAATATATTTCCCTTTGAGAAACTGGACGTGTTCCGTGTTATTATAGAACAACGTAACGGACTGGCAAATGTCTAGTAATGTTTTAGAAAATTATTAAATTTTGGGTACCCGAGAAAGAAACGAGGACTATAACGAAGTGTTCGTGATATGTCTAATGTCATGAGTTGACCTGTAAGTTCGCATGTAATACAAACTCCAAACATTCTTAAAAATAAAATAAAAATTGTTTATGCAATGTGCTTCAGAGTAGTGGTGGAAAGGCAGCAGATGCGTAGCTCCGGCACCGAATAACACGAACCATAACCACTAATACAAATAATGGAAAGCATCGACCAGTAAGAAAAGAAGTCGCAACGCTCTACCACAATATATCCACAAGCGTTGGTGCCCCTTCGCTGTCTTGGAAAAAAATCTACATACATCGCCAATTCGTAAGAACGCAAACATTTTATCACACGAGTCTAAAACAAGTTCTGATGTATTTAAACGGCGCCGCCGTGCGTGTAGAGAAAAGTATGAAGTCGCGATTTGATATTTATGCCACAATTCCAAAGTTGGATTTCGTATATTTTCTTACATAGTATTTGTTTTTTCATGGATGTCGAAGGGTTATTGGATTCTGACCGCCCCATATTCAATTGCCGGTATTCAACAGAAACCAAGATATCTCTTTCCAGAAAAGAAAGGCAAACGTCATTTTTTCGGGAAAATATCCGGTGTTTATAACTACAAATAAAACGCAACGCCATTATTTAAATTTTCGTGACAAGAAATCACAATACCCAGAATCAAACGTCGATAAATTATCAAAGTGGTTTTCTTATTTACGGTATCTATTACTTGTGACATTCATCTTCTCAGATCGACTAAGTTTCAAAGGAAAGGTCATTAACTTGGCTGAAGTATCACGAACTAGGGACTCAAACACCCGAATGCACGGCTCGTGCGTGAGAGAAGAACAACTCTAATGCGAGCGACAGGCTAATTGTGTACCGAAGCCCAGTCCGACGTACAGTCACGCAACCTTGCCGTCTTCAACGGGGCTTCCTCCTTAAACCCCTAGAAACTAACATTTCCCCCTACGACCATATATCAAACACGCCAAGCGTATGCACAGACGAAGCTTTACAGAGAGCGAGAGAGAGAGAGAGGAGGCAAAGAAAACTCCACGTGAAGCCCTATGGGGAAACGAGTGCAAGGTTTTTAATTGCCTGTCGTCATCTGTCAGATTAATTGAGGATTACCCTCTGACTCCATAAGCCGAGATCAGGGCAGCAGTGGAAACATTCTAACGCACATCATTTATTTCTTCCCCCTGTCTGGCACCGGGATATGTTTGTCTTTTGTTGCTGGTATTACGCCGGATCCCCGTTGTTTCCTTTCCTGCACCCGGCCAGACAAGACTCACTTAAAAAGGAAAAAATAAGAAAACAAATTCGTTCTTTTAAGGGGCTACTTATGCCGTTAACCTCTTTCATTGCTTTTCTTGTAACATTTTTTTCGTGAGGAGTGGAGATGCAATTTCTCAACGCTAGTTTCTAGAAGGCTGGATATGAACGTGATTTAATAATTGACGCGGCTCTCCGTCGCCTGTCCTTGTGTTCACTTTTATGTCTTTCGGGAGACAGAGAGTGACTAATTTAGGGAGACTTGGGGGATTAGAAATTGCCCGAAGAGAAAAAACATGGCGTTTGTGTGGCTGCAATCGTGAGTTGTTGAACTAAACCAGCCTTAAAATCATCACCTTCATTCCGACAGTTTTTCGTCGTTAAACTTGATCACTTGCTTAAAAAACTTTCGCAATTGTAAAAAGAAAAAAAAAAAAGGTTGAATTGTGTTTTAAAAAATGACGGCTTTATTGTTATTATCAACAGCAAGGTTGAAGTAAGGTGGCATTGCTCGACGTCGGATCGATAATAACGATGACTGCTGTAGGTGCTGCGCCACTGACTGGCGCGCTGTAAAAGAGCACACTAACGAAATCACGGAATTCGTATGAATTCTGTGTTGGTTCTGTCGTCCAATGAAATACAGGCGTAATCTAAACGTTATCCTTTCAACTGTACTACAGTTTGAAGGACAGAGGGAATCGTTATTCAGCACGCAAGACCGTACTGAGTTTCATTCGGAAGAACATTCTATCATTCGACGAAGTAAAACTTTATGTTTGCCAGATTCATAAGGAACCACATTATGTTATGCCTCGCCACAGGAGACTAACAAATTTGTGAAGTGCTAAATAAAAAAAAAATAATTGACAGTGTCAATAATGGCATATGGCTTAAATTTGATTCCTGGTTCTTTTTTAACACTAGCACATCAGCAGAAATCGAGATACCGCTGTAGGGGCGAGAAAAAACTGAAGATTACGGTTCCTGAACAACCTGATCGTGTAACCCTCACAAATCCTTCTGAACAGAAAGAAGTCTCGGCGTTGTTTTCTCTATTGTCCCGAAGGGAAGGCAAGTGTAGAAAGGATGGTGGCACGCATGTTTTTATCGAGTGAACCTTTGTATATTCACATTGTTGGCAATCATCATACTCAGTCCTGCAAAAATGTGACATTTCCTGTCTATATTAATCTTTGTAGCCTCTGAGTAGTGCTTTCCGCACTCCAAGCTTGCTACACACACACTGTTCTCTTTGCTCCTTTCAAGCTGAAACGGTTCTTATTTTAATATTGGTTAGCCTTAACAGCACACAAAACACCGGGGAAGCACCTCAGATTTTTCCTCTCAGAAAAGTTTCATATTGCCTTTGGTCGACTTTATTTTATCGTCCATAAGGTTGACGAAAGAAAGGGTGTCTTGCATCACCCATCCTGTCATTCGCTTTGGAATTTGGCTCTGTGTTTTCACAGTAAGTAGAATGCACAAACACGGAACACGTGCAACCGACCTGCATATATACAGGTCAGTTGCTGATGATTCCAAACATGTCTTTTGCAATCTACAGATTGCAAACAGCAGGTTTGGATTTTTTTTCACCCGAGTTCTTGGAAAGGCAAATCAAGGTATCATTTCGTGTAAGTTGTAACTTTAAGCGAATAAAGATATGTTTTTTTGTTTTTTTTAACGTTGCAAAGTCGCGGGAAAATATTATAAGCTTCGTAAAACTAAGTTTCTCACTATGGAATAACCAAATCATCATCAATGTGGATCACCAGTCGGAGAATATTAGGACATTTTGGATGCCTTAAAATGCTTAAAAAGACGTTACACTTGTTTTACGGAAAGACTTGCATGAGCGAATGTGAACGTGATATATTTGCTGTGGTAACCGAAATCGTATCCTCTTAAAGGGACACTGACACTCCCAAAAAATATATATAGAGAGAGATTTTTTTCGCCTGACGGTTTAATATGGTGTTAGAAGACTACCCAATCAATATATTGCTACAGCGTCACATGTAATTTAATAACGTAAGAAAAACGCAACTGCTCTAAACCGAAACCGAAACTGGACTGGAGAGCGAGAAGATATATAGAGCAGGAGCGAGTTGCCAAAATTCACGTGGCTCTGCAACTTTTTTTTTTTTCCAATCAACGTATTTGAAGTTTTTTAGAAGTCCCAAAAATTGGGTATCATATATCATTTCTATTTTTAATATTACGTGTGCGCCTTCGATGGCTCACGATTTAGATTATATTTGGTGGTTGCGTCTCAACCATAGAAAATGGCACGTGACCAGGGAGAAGAGAGTGAGCGCGACTCAACCCGGCCAGATCTCGATCAGCGGTTTTCGGGTGGAAAGGAAACAAAATTTGATCCGCGACTCGTTTTCTGGCTAATTAGGCTCTGATATGTCATGTACAAACCTTTTTCGAGCATAAATACCCTGTCAGTGTTCCTTTAAGAACAAAAATGTACACAAGCGCTAGACAAAAATACAACGCGTCATCGCGAAGCCCAGGTGAAATGCGAAACACACTCAATTCCACGCACTTACCGCCTAAAAAAAACAGGCATTGGTAAATCCTTCTATATCCGTGCGTTTAGGTCAGGGTCGCAGCGTCTTGTGTCATAGGCGTGAGACCGTTCCGTCTCGCGCCGCCGTGGCCGTCAGTCGGAAGGGGCGTCCGAGGCCGAGCGGAACACAAAAGACGTCCGAAGTGACCCAAGGTTCATTGCGCATTGGAGCACGAGCAATGTCACGCTCGCGGCAGCAGCCACATGCAGCAACGGCCGAGCCCCACGTAATGTTTCCCGTGTTGTTCGCGGTCCGCCGGGACTTGTGTGTCAAGGCGAACCGTTTTCTACGCTTTTGACGTTTGCCGGCCGTTTCTCTGTGTCCCCTCCACGTGTACGTCTCCGACTATTCCGAGAGGGAGTCGTCGGTGGCCGGCGGGA